AAATGATGTTCCTTCTGCCCAGGGTCGAATGTTTGACAGGACTGGTGGTGCAGACCAACAAGTGTTCATGCTTTGGGCGCGGAGCCACGTGAACCCAAAGGAAAACAGATCTGAAGCAACAAAAGCTCCCCGTTCATGGCCAGCACATGCAACGTGTTTCGACTGGTGTTTTGGATTGGTGTCTTGGAGGTTGGGGGTAGTTTCCCATTTGCCCTCAAGAACGAGGGCTTCACCTACGGGTTACCTGAAACTATGCTGATCATGCTCAACATGCCAGCTCTCGCGCAATAGATGTTGAATGAAGCTTGCTCGGCTGGCAGGGAGAGAAGCCGCGCACTCCGGGCCTTGGTGGATTCTCATTCGCATCGCCATCTATCAACTCACCCAGATGAAAGTGCCCCGGATGTTCCGTTAGTACTGACGCTGCACCAACTTCTCGCTTGTGGCCCGGTGGCAACATTCCCCACACCCCATCCATTGGAACACCCAAATGATCTCCGCCTGGGCCTCTTTCTCGAGGCATTTTGGTGCGCAAACAATGGAATTGCATCGCATCTCCCTCCTCATTTGAGAAGTCGATTGACGCACAGACCAGGCAGTTCATCGAAGGTGCTCATTGCTCCAACGGCACAATGGCAGAACATTGGTTCTCGCAGACTTGCGAGGAAACTACTCCCAGATTCACAAGGAAACCAACTCCCTTTGAGAAAGGATCCCCTTTTTGGGATTCCAACACATGTTAATTTCGTGGGACAATACGGGCCTGACTTTTGTTTGGGGACCCTTTGGTGGATTCATGTCCAATCTCCCCGTCCCCCTTGGCCTTTCTTGGGCCTCTGGCGCGCCGACGCCTGCCGGCAAGGGTTTTCCAGCGTAAGCGGCGAATTGCCATAGTGGGGTGGGGGGCGGGGCGCGCGCGGTAGCTCCCTGCAAATTAAAATGGGTCGCCCAAAACAGAGGGTCCTTGCCCCCAGAATGAGAAGGCAGTCTTGGTTTCAATTGTTACTTGGCTAATATGTTCATCTGCAGAGGTTTGTCAATCACATGCTTCCAGTTCGACAACCCCTTCAACGCCATGTCCCGCAAATGTCGACCTTGGATTGGAAAAGGAGTGCCCTTTCTGTCTACCAAAGCAGGCGATTCCCATACAAGCTGCATGACGACTGAGTACCCATTTAGAGGGGGTTCGAACCCTCGGCCACTCATGGAGAGTGGCGAGAAAAAGCCCAAATTTTCCACAAGCATGCTAAAGCGATCCAGGAAACAGGGACCTCCCTCATTCTTCGGCAAGGAGGATTTATGAATCACCAGCGATTCCAGCTACCGCTCTCGTAGGTAACCCAGGCAAACCGCCATTTACAGACCAAACCGTAAACAACCACACGCCAGGCGCCCATGCTGAATTCGACGCACGTGACACCCCGCAGGTCACGGACTGCCCCACTGCAGCTTGCCGCGAACGACACGCCCGCTCGGCGTGGTTCTTGCCCAAGCGCGTCGAGTAGTTCTCCGCCAACATCGGCAAAACCCGCTGATCCAACACCATCCCTGCATCAGAAGTTTACATGCGCCGAAGCAAGTGATTGTACAAGCTGAAGTTCTTTGCGCAAGTGATTGTACATGCGGGTTCCTGGATGAACGAACCAACCATTTAGAATCATCTCCATAGCCACTCAATGCTTGCAGCCAAGAAAAGCCACGAGAAGCGCCTGGCAAAAGCTCACAGTAAAAGTGGCAAGCACAAATCCCTACCCCGAGAGGTGTTTCCATTATTTTGGGGTATGTACTTTTTGAGTATGTAGTTTTACGCTTAGACGCGTGTAGGTTGCCCACACGCTATCCGGCAGCTTGCCTGTGGGCACGAACACTAGAGAGATCCACCCAAAACTGACCAAAACGGTGGCCTCACCTACTTGTGTGCAGGTTGGATTGTGGCTCAAGTGTAAAAACAATGGGGGTGCAACTGTTGCACCCATCACGACACTTCGCATCACTTGGGGCTAGGAAGCCAAAACCTTCCCCCCTCCCTCCTTCCCTCTCTCCCTCCCTCCCTGCCTGCCTGTCTGCCTGCCTGCCTGCCTCCCTCTGAGGAGTGGAAACCATCTTAGAATAGAATCAAAACTTACTTCTAGCAGAAGCTGCCAAAAACAAAGCTATATGAAGCCCTGAAAGCTGACCAGAATCTGCTAGTTTGCTACGACCCTGACAGTTTTGTCTGGAACATTCGACTGGCAGTCTCTGGATTGCCGTCACAAAAGTTGCAGCTGACTGATTGAAACTGCCCTTTGAGGTCCAACCGAGGGAAATGGATGGACCCGGCCCCCGCAGCGAATCCACTGACATTCTACCCGCACAGTGTCGACCTTTACATTCAGCTCAGAGAACGAACGGCCTGAGGGCGGTATTTTCTTCTTTCAGACCATCCCAAAGAAAATCCAGTCCCGATGATTTCCTTGCCCCTTAAATCATCCAACACGGCGTGTATTCCCACAGAGAAAATCACAAAGGCTGAGATCCGCCGCAAAAGTCAAAGAGAAACTCAAGCAACAGACACCACGACACAGCGCAAATCTCTGGCCCATGCCTGAAGCTCGAGGATGCACCTACAAGGACCCCGCAACACAGCACCCCAAAAACACCCATGTTGTCTAGACCCACTGAGATAGTTTCCACGAAGTCTGCGATTTGATGTTGTTTTGGCCCTGTAGTTTGGGGGTTCAAGCTTCTTGACAGTGTTCAAAGCTTTCACCCCAAACCAGGAAACAAACCCGGCTAAGCTGAACCCTTGGCTCCCGTTTGAAACAAGCAGGACCGCACCCAACTAACCCAAACCACCGAAGATTTAGCTGACCTCGGGCCATGCTTCAACCGTTGTTAGATTGGCGGAGTTCGGAGAGTCGTTGAATGCCGGGATCCTCCCGAAAGCTAACATAAAGCCACCCCTATCTTAATCAACCAGGGCTTACAGGGCTTCGGGGACGTGATTGAATGTACAAAACGGGCTAGATGTGTACATACATATTTATAAATATTACATATCAGCAATTGGTATTTATTGGACCTAAACCAGAACGCGGTGGGAAACGTTTGGGTGAGGATGCCTGAAACTTTAAACCACCAATCAAGCCATCAAGTGGTTACTGTAGCTGAGCTAACCCCTCTGGAACTTCCCCCCACGGAACATGTGGTACATAACCTGTATCACCAGGGGCTTCATCAGCTACTAGTGTGCCAAAATGGGAACATTCCATCCAAAAGAGGCCTTCGAAGTCAAACGAAATGGTTCCCCTTCTTTCCCCTGGTGGTAGTGGCTGGGAGTTAGTGGAAACCATGTTTGAAAACCTCCCCGCGAAACTATAGTTCATCTTTGTTGGGCACCCTCTACATCCGGGCGGGAACTTATCCTTCTGCATCCCTAGATCGCATCTCCAAATGGCATGTAGCCTGGTCCCTGGAAATGACACCGATGACCTACCCGGGATGTAAGATTAGATGGGTATGAAGTCCACCCACCTGTTCCCAGCCAGGAGCAAAGAGCGCAAAAGCAAACCAATCGCTCGGAAGCCTGGTGCAGCTTGGCAAGTCGAGTCTGACTGTCAATCAGGTGCTGTGACAAGGTCCTGGCACCTGTGGATCTCGTGAAGCATGAAGTGAAATGTCCACCCCCGGAAGGGACCCTTCAGTGGACATCACTTAGGTAGAGACGACCCGCGCAGCCGTCAGCGCCAGCTTCTTGTCGATCAACTGCCTGCGTCATCTCCTCCGCCTGGAGGAAGGGCTGCCCACCAACTCGCCAGCGATCCAGGCCGCTTTGTGCGACAGCGCCGCTGGCTGTTGGACTGCTTGACGGCGACGATGTGCGTCTACCAATCGCCAACGCCAAGACCTTCCGAACAGTGAACGCCTCGGCCAGCACCCTGGTGACCCCGTTTGCCGGGAATTGTTTGCATCTGGGCTCACATAAAATAGTATGTCCTGACTCTGTTCCACGTTTAGTCCCAAAATATAACATAGATTCAAATAGTTTTGGGGACCTCAGACCTGAGGTGAGGTTCCACCTCCCCTTGCACTCCCATGAAAGATCCCAATCAACCTGCGATGCTCAACATTTGTGTGGAAACAGACCTAATTTGGCGTTGTCTCCGGTGGTTGGTGTCCTTCCTGCCACAGATGATGCCAACTCCAAGAAGAGACACCTGTTGCAAAGTGGAACCTCAAAAAAAGACACGCGTGCACCCTTCGGCGCTCAGGTGGACTCCGAAACCCGGAAAGTGCGAGTGGCGGAAGCGCCTTCACCGGCGTCTCCTGGGGTGGGAACTCGGGAAAAACGAAATCCGGCGTCGAAGTCTCATGATGGTAGGTGGCCGAAACGGAGGGACCCCCCCCCAAAAAGGCCGGTCTTCCTTGAGGTTTTCCCCGAAACCAAGGTGAACATCCGCACTACCACGGATGGCTATGAAACCCATCGCCCGTGGCTTCTTCTGGCATCAGCTTTTGGGTTTTTGGGGGAAACCCCAAGGGTCTGGGGTCTGCAGGCGCTCCGAGATGTGAACATCCAGTGAACACAAACCCCCATGTGAAGCGAGAATCTTTTAATGATATTCATGAGGTTGGTTTGCGGAATTGTCGCTTGAACAAGTTTAAGAAGCCCCAAAGACCTTTGTGGCTGTTGTCCCTCCAAACAAGCAAGGAGCCAGTTGCCCCCTTCTTCTACCATTCTCAACTTGTCACATCCTCCGGGACTGGTTCAAGGGAAACACAAACTAGAAGCTTCGACTTTTGCTTGTGGAAACGGAACGAACTCCGGGACCCAACTAAAACGTTTTGCAAGCAACAGTGTGTTCAAGGCAAACCTGTGTTGCTTGGTCCAGAAAACTGACCCAAGACTTACAGCATAGACCCCAATTGCTGGTGCATCAGGGCAAACAGCTTGAAAGTAGGCAACCAGGATATTCCATCATGTAAAGCCCAAGAAACCCTTACGCGGTTGCCAACCAGGGCTACACAGGTCGGCAGCTTCCGCCATCCTCGCTGGGATCGGCTTCTTTCGGCGGCTTCTGGCGTGCTACTCGGGAAGACCTGGCCATGGCGCCGGAAACCACTGCTTGCAACTGGGCTACCCCTAGTTTGAGACAGACCCATATAGACCTTTCTATCACCAATAAACACCAGATGGAACCACCTACTAAATGGCCAATACGGGTGTTGGGCGCTGCTCATGTGGGAAACTCTCCGGTGAAACCGTTTGGTGTCGGATCCACATCCCTGCGCGTTCTCTCTTCGCAGGAAGACCGGACGGTTGCCAAACACCACTTGGTGGTTTAACAATGGGAGCCCAGAACTGGCTGATTTTATCGGCGTGTCCCTTACACAGCAGGAAATCCGGATCACTTTCTGAGCCGGGGTTGACATGACCGAGTGATGTCCATCCGTACTGAATGTATCGGGGTTTCTCTTCGCTTGGTTGATGCCGAGCCCTGGATCTCTGAATATCCCTGAAAAGGGATCTCCCTCGGCCCAAACCCAATGTTCAACTGTTGGGCCCTTGTGGAAACATGGGGCCCCTACGGGTATTATGAAGTTTAGTTGAGGACCTTTGGTGGACATCAATTTTCATGCAGTTGTCGTCCTCCAACCATTTTTGAGAGGGGTCCCCCATAAAAGGCATAGCCATGCAGGTATGTCTGAGCATAAGAAAGCCCTAAAGTGGTTGGCAATTGGCTTCCTTTTGGTGTCTCGTCAAGTACTGTCCAAACAAGGGAATACACCGCTCGACACAGCTCAACTGGGTGTGAGTTTTGATAGGGGGCCTTGGTTACCTTTGGTTGGACATCATCTAGGTGGGGAGTCTTGACCACCAAGCAATTTTGACCTGGAGGTGCTACAAACAACACTTCTGGAATGTATGGGAGTGGGTGTCCCCCCAGTCAGTTGCTGGAAGCCCGATTGAATGGGCGCTTCCATGCTCGGTTTGGCTCAAACTGGCAAAGAAGGAGGGGCAGTCCTGAGGTTCGCGAACAAGAAGCCCCATAGAAAGAGAGCTCGCCATGTTTGCACTGGCCAAAAGCTGTCAGCCTTGCGTGCTCCAACCACCGCCAAATTGCTCGGGTACATCTTAGCGACATCCGCCTTGGGCAACTAACAGTGGATGGTCCACGCCGGAAATGGAAATGGGGGCTGTTTTTGGTCGTGGGTGCGAAGATGCCAGAATTTGGCCACCCACGGGGCATCCCAAAGGGAAAAAACATCAAACCCGGAAACCGATCCTCAGCCGGGCAGAAGTGGCGGCTTCCCCTTGGATTCCTTTAGAAACCATCCAAAAGGGAAACCCTAACCTCTACAGAAGATTTCACCGCCCTAATGTCCCTTCAGCAGACACATCCTGAATCTAAGATGGTGTCCATCCCCAGGGGGGTAATGGGATGCACAACCCCTACATAGCATCGGTTATGTATTTTTCCTCTGGGGGTAGTGGTCTGGGGGTAGTGGAAACGACCTTAGACTTATCTCACAGTCTGTACGGCTTCGCCCGCAGGGTCCACAAAACCCCGTTTCGAGTCGCCCCTCAAGACATGGGAAACGCACCTGCCAATTGGGCCAAAAAGATGTCTGAACATGAGGCAGCCCTAAGCCAATCGCCAAACAAGGGTCACTTTCGGACCCAAGACCTCCCCCGGCGACCCGGGCTTCTTCAGGAGCCGACGAAAGGCGGACACCGCAGGCACCTAGGTCTATGCCGGAAGTGAAACGAAAGCTTCAACAGTTGTTGCTCCTTCTGACATAGGGGGTCTGGCAAAAAAACGACCCACGCCCTTTTGGTTTCTTGCTGGGGAAGTTAAAGATTGTGAGCTGTTTACCCAGCATGCGGCCCTCTTTTGAACAGAAGGCACCAGAGCTTGGTGAGAAAAACTGCCATGGGACTCTTAGTACAACAACAGGGAGTTTGTTCGAAGAGTTCGGTGGCCGAGAACTTTGAAAGTGACTTGAACACACCGCGCATTCACCACATATATATATATATACATATATATATATATACGTATGCTTATACGTACACAACGTATACTGCTGAATGTATACATATATATCCTAAAATGTATAGATAGATATTCAATCTTGTATACGTATAGGTACGGGGGTGTCTTGAAAAGGGCACCTTTTATGGGGTTGCTTTAAAGTTTACAGGGAGGCCAAAGGGAAGAAACCAAGCATTGCTCAGGTTCGGCCCCGGCAAAACATGCATACTAGACCGCAATGCTTGCCACCCTGCCACCCTGCCACCCTGCCACCCTGCGACCCTGCGACATCGCGCGAGCAAGCAACACCATTTTGCCCGTCTCATTGCCTTGTGATGCTGGTTAAAAGCACCACACCCATTTTAGAGGGCGTGAGCCTCCAAAATGGAGGGGTATACAAGTATGTCATTTTGGCATTGCCTTGGCTTGGCTTGATTTCCAGGTTGGCTTGTTTTGCCTGGGCAGCTTCAGGTGCAAGGCCTGATTGGCGGAAATTCACCTCAACACAAGAATTATATCCAGACGTTGGCACGCCCAGGCCCCTCTGTCCCAAGCGGGCTTTCTGCTCCACTCCCACTCCCCCCACTCCCCGCACTCCCCGCACTCCCCCCACTCCTCCCACCTTTTCCAAGGTCTGTAGGGGCCATCCTGCCCCCAGTCTTGGGACCACCAATCCTGCCAACCCTCCCAGCAGTCCTGCCATGAGGACTGGCCCCATGCGCACCAGCCCTCATCATACCAATCATGATCTTTCAAGGAGTCGTCCCACCCCTGTTTTTTCAAAGTGTTTCCCCCCTCCTCCTTTTTCAAGGAGTTGCCCCTCTCCTCCTTTTCCAAGGAGTTGCCCCTCTCCTCCTTTTTCAAGGAGTTGCCCCTCTCCTCCTTTTCCAAGGAGTTGCCCCTCTCCTCCTTTTTCAAGGAGTTGCCCCTCTCCTCCTTTTCCATGGAGTTGCCCCTCTCCTCCTTTTTCAAGGAGTTGCCCCACACCTCCTTTTCCAAGGAGTCATCCCATTCCTCCTTTTTCAAGGAGTTGCCCCTCTCCTCCTTTTCCAAGGAGTTGCCCCACACCTCCTTTTCCAAGGAGTTGCCCCACACCTCCTTTTCCAAGGAGTCATCCCATTCCTCCTTTTTCCATTCCTCCGTTGCCAAGGGCTTATCCAGTTCCAACTCATCCTTCTTCAAGCAGCTGTCACCGTCATCCTGTTGCAACCGATTCCTCCTCCTCTCCCTCCTCGCGTGACTAGTTGTGCCAGACCCCCAGGGCCTGCCTGCCCTGTTCCGCATCCTTTGAGGCGAGATTGGGGGCAAAGTCTCGCAACTTACAAAATCTGCTTCGGGCAAAAAGGCTGCAGCAACATGTCGAACCGCTCAAACATGCAACATGTCAAAACAACTACTTATAATATAAGGATGTGTGTGTGTGTGCGGAAAGAGGACACCTGCAGCATGTCCAAACCCTTTTCCAACACAACAGTCCAAATTGGGAACCCCCTTCATTCAAACGCATGGGTGCCTCCCCAAAAAATGGGAACCCTTCGATGCCCTCAACAAACATGGAAGTGCACAGGGTACCTGAATCTCTTCTAAAGAGAACCTGTACGATTTCCTCGTTGTTGGTGCTGGCTCTCAATAGGGAATCAGTCGAGGTTTCGGCAATGAACCCAGGGATAGGAACCCACTGCGGAAGGTTCATAGAGCCCCTCTCGCGGTTTCTTCAGGGCTCGCGCCAGCTTCTTGTTGTCCACTGCCCCCAGGAAGTCCAAGGCGGCGGACACTGGCGCTGGCGCTGGCGCCTGCCCAAAGCTCGTGCACAAAGTCGCGGAGCAGCTTAAACAGCTCAAACAGCTCTAGGCTGTGGCCCATGTTTTTCTGAAAGTGGCCACCACAAAACTGGGACCTCCACCATTTGGGGCGTTCAACAGGGCAACTTTGACGGCCCCATCGCAAGGGTAGGGCTTCGGCTGGTAGAGAGAATGCAAAATGAAAAACAAACCTTGTTGTTATCCTGGTGTTTTGATCATCTCTTAGAAGCAACCCTGTCAAACTTGGAAAGCCGAGGTTTTGACCGGTAGAGTCGTCACAGGAATAGTGGTGTGTTTGTGTGTGTGCGTGCGCTTACTACTTGAAGCACGGAATATCTGGCACGAGAAAAAACAAAGGTTCAAACAAACCTACTGTGCTCAGTTGTGACCGAGAAAGCTGGCGACAGTGTGCTATCTGAAGTCTGCTCCGCCTCTCTCTCTCTCTCTCATTCTATGGAAGTGGGTCCTCGCTTCGGTAGCCTTACACGGATGCGTTTCGCTGGACACAAAGGAAGACGACCTTGCGTGGCGACGTCCATATACGGCCTTACAAAATGTATGCTGGTCTGTGCTGGAGTTCGAAATGTATTGCTGATGGTTGTTGTGTTTGAGCCAAGCGGACAACATTATTTCAAATCCGGCAAATATACAGAAAGCATCACTGCTATAGCTCCAGGTCGCTGCCAGTACCTTCAAGATGAGAATGTCAAAAACTATCAGAATGATTCTCTATCAATTGATTGTTCATCTTGCAACAACCAATCATGAAGGTAATGCTCCTCTGGAAAAGGAACACTTAGGAAGTTCGGCAACAAGCAAACTGGCAATGCCAAATCACACCGGCTTAAGGGAAATTGCATGTTCCTAGCTTGATGCTTCGATTGTGCACGTGTGACGCGACAGAAACAGCCATGAAATGAGCTTACAAGGGGTACGAAGCGAGGCATCTTCCTCGCAATGACATGTTGCAAACCACAACCAGACAAAGCCCCGCCTACCCTTTTTGAGGATGGCAAGCCAACGGAGCATCAAAACCCTGGAACCCCAAAAACCTGCCGTTGGTTGGGCAAAAACCCGAAAAAGAGTAAACTTTGAAATTTGGGGGTCAAAAAGTTCGTGAGCAAACTGGCGTGCTCTGCCGCTGGAGTTTGCAATTCCAGCTCAGGCTGGGAGGTTTATAGGAACCCGGGATTTTTATGGAAGATTCGTGAACTGCGTGCCCATGAGAATGGCTCGGTGTGCTGCCAAACCGAGAGTGGCTGGAGGAAAAAGACAATACATGGATGATTTTTTTCGAAACGAAAGAGTCTTTCTAGATGGTCCATATTCAGCTCGTTCCGAATGTGCAATAATAACACCATCTATTTTCGGGTCCCGGTTGCGTGTTCAGCGGACACACTCCCAAGTGCTTGCCTAGGGCCTAGCCAAAACATATGTCCTTCCTGTTTGGATGGCGCCCGACGTCGGCGATCGCTCCATTTCAGCGCCCCGCCTCTGCCTTCTCATCTTCTAACGAAACGGAACCTGCGGAGGGTGGTGGTCAAAGGCCGGACCCCAGCGGAATTCCGTGAAGGGAAAAGGGGCACGGGTCCCTTTGTTGGGCAATTCGTTGACTGCAAACGGAAACCCCTCCAAAGAAAAGGAAGAAAGGGCACTGGAGGTCTGGGTGCTTGAATTCTAAGGACATGGCATGGTGCACAGAGTGAAACCCTTTCCAAGAATAAAGCTCGTCTTCCAAATGGGGTCGAGCGCACACATCCTTCCCTTTGCAGACAACTGTGCGGCCCTCAAAGCAAACAAGAAAACAGTGGCCACAGAAGCAAAAGCAAATGAACATGAGGATGCTTGCTGGTGCACTCCTTTTGGTCGACCCCACAAGGGTCCAAGCTCCGAAGGCTTCAACATGCGTTGAACGAATGGGACCCAAAAACACTTAGGACCCTGACGTCAAAAAACCTAAAGGGTTCCCGACTAACCCTACCGACCCATGGCGTCTAAAGCCCGTAGTAAAGGGGTTCACCAACCCAACCCAACCAATGCTTTAGGGGTGAATTGGCCCGTGTGAATCTTGACCGCCGCTTTCTTTGCCTGTCTCATCTCCAGCAGCCAAGTCCTGGCGAGCCAGGGACGGAAAGTGGGCGAGTTGGAGATCAACCTGGACCAACCCCTCTTTCAACAACCTTTTAGTTCCCTCGAAGGTGGGCAGGGCCTGGGGCGGGAGTTTAACGGGGGGGATGAACTGAGCTTCCACCCATGCAGCCACCCACCCACCCACCGTCAGCCTCTGAAACCTATCCTTGGCAGCACAGAAAAATGCTGAATCTGCAACCCCAACAACCCCCCCCCCGGCATTCACTAGTTTTTTTCTTGCTCAGGCGGCCCATGGCCTCCCCTTTATAACAGTGCATGATGAAGATTGACCATCGCACATGCATGTTGGCCGACCATTTGGAGGGTCCCCAATTTGGAGACAAACCCATCTCATACCCCGGCAAGTCATTGCGGAGTGTATACAAACCTGGTCGGCAGGTGGCCCCAAAACGGCCATCGCCCAGTGGTCATAGACACAGCGGCTGCTGGGTGTATCGTATTGGCAACAGCCATTTCGCGCATGTCGGCCAACTGCAATGACGAGAGCCCGGGACGTATAACCCGCCCACCAAGAATCGCTAGCTTGCTCTTAGGTGATTTCAATCTTGGTTGCAGGCGGGCCAACCCCCAAAATCTGGGGGTTCGCACATTGTTTAAGGGCACCAAAAATTTGGAGCCACACGGGCTCTAAGAGACTACTCCCCTGCGAAATGATATGGAACCGACAAAACACTCATGTGCAGAGGAAGCCCTTTTGGGGTGTGAAGTTTGCACGGCCCATCTGGTGAGGGAGGTTCCCCTGAATTTTCCAAACCGAAGACCATGAATGCCTCTATAGCAAGCTCACTTGGGTTACCCCTTTTCGTGCAACCCATGTCAACTTCCAGAGTTCCTCTTGGGGTTCTTTAAAAATATGCTCAGGCGATATCCCCAACAGCATGTGGAACCCTGGTGGAACCCTGGTGGAACCCTGGTGGAACCCTTCAGCTGTTGGGGAAAAAGAACAAATAACTCCCAGAATCCCGCGGAACGCCCCGGGACCATCCTTACCGCCGGTGTTGCTGAGGATGCCGCCTTGTAAAGCAAAGCTATACGAGTGACAGCGCAATCTCGCCCTGATCGGGGCCCGACGGCGCAATCGGGATCGGGGCCCGACGGTGCAATCGGGCCCTCATCGTCCCGTGGTGCAACCCCAGCCACCCATACTATAGCTCAACGCCGGTGACCCTTGGCATGCGGAAGGCAACTGCATCTATAGCAAAACTAGGCGACGCCAGCTTGGTACAATTGACGGGGCCCGACTGAGTCGGGCCCCGATCGGGGCCCGACGGCGCAATCGGGCCGATCGGGGCCCGACGGCGCAATCGGTGCAATCGGGGCCCGATCGGGGCCCGACGGTGCAATCGGGGCCCGATCGGGGCCCGACGGTGCAATCGGCCCCGATCGTCCCGTGGTGCAACCCCAGCCACCCATATTATAGCTCAACGCCGGTTTTCCTTAGTATGCGGATTGCAACTGTATCTATAGCAAAACTAGGCGATGCCAGCTTGGTACAATTGACGGGGCCCAACTGAGTCGGGCCCCGATCGGGGCGCGATGGCGCAATCGGGGCCGATCGGGCCCAAAGGCCCCGACAGTGCAATCGGGCCCCGACCTAGGCCCGGTGAACCTCGCAAACCGTTCTCACGCAACTTTCGTGGAGCAGCGTGAAACTTTGCTGGACCTTTCCTCAGGGCTGCCCCATAGCTTTTGCAGAATTTGGTGTTTGACCTCATAGCCCTCGCAGCCTCGTGGAATTCTTGGAACCCCAAGCCCACCAAGCAGCAATGCCAAGCATTTACTCTGCTGCACCGTGAGTTCCGCAGCAACGTGATCTGATTTGCCACAAAGCCAACATTTGCCTGAGCGAGTGAGCAAGTCACGAAACAGTGAAAGTGCGCTAAAAACCATTGATTTCGGTTTTGCTTAGTGTTCCGCCCATGAGCAAAGCGATCTTGATCCGATGGCTTTTCAGACGACGGGCGCGCGACACACTTTTGGTGGAGCATTGTGGAGCCTTGTGGAACCCGTGTGGAATCCTTGCAGAGCTTTGTGGAACCCTGTGAAACCTCAGGGCCCACAGCCCTCGCAGAATCTTGTGGAACCCTGACACCCTCATACAACCTTGCCTCAAACCACCCCGCAGCCCTTGCAGAACCTCGTGGGACCCTGCTAGAACTGTGCTGGAATGGAACCTTACCTTGCAAAACCTGGTGGAATTCTGGTGGAATTCTCATGGAACATTACCTCAAACCAGCCCGGACCGCTGGTGGAACCCTGGTGAAACCCTGGTGGAACCTTCCCCGAACCACGCCGCACCCTCGAAGAACTTGGTGGAACCCTGGTGGGACCCTCGTCCGGAGCACGACGGGCTGGTGGAACCGGTGGAAACTGGTGGAACCCTCGTGGAACCTACCTCAAACCACCTCGGACCACCCTGCAGCCCTCGCAGAACCTGGTGAAACCCTGGCAGAATTCTGGTGGAAATCTGGTGGAACCCTGAGGGAACCTTCCTCAAACCAGACCACCCCAGCCCTCGAAGAAATTGCTGGAACCCTGGTGGAACCCTCGTGGAACCTTACCTCAAACCACCCCGGACCACCCTGCAGCCCTGCCACCCAGACCACCCCGCAGCCTGGAACCCTGGTGGAACCCTGGCGGAACCCTCGTGAAACCTTCCTCAAACCCGCAGCCCTCAAAGAAATTGGTGGAACCCTGGTGGAACCCTCGTGGAACCTTACCTCAAACCACCTCAGACCACCCCTGGTGGCCTGGTGGAACCCTGGTGGAACCCTGGTGGAACCCTGGTGGAACCCTGGTGGAACCCTGGTGGAACCCTGGTGGAACCCTGGTGGAACCCTGGTGGAACCTTAGCTCAGGGTCGCCCCGAACCACCCCGGAGCCTATCTGGGCTGAGACCCCAAAGCTTTCAGCTGTTGGGGAAAAAGGGGAGAATCACCCTCGAGGTTGCTCGAAACCAAAATCCAAAGGGAGAACCACCCCCGAAGGGGGCTGCGCCAACTTCCATCGCCGAGAGAAGTCGCCGGGTCCCCGCGCGTAGAACTCGGTGACTGAGGGCCGTTTCTCGAAGATGAGGCCTGGGGGTTGCCGAGGTCACGAAAATGAGCAGGATATGTGGCTCAAAAACTTCAATGGTCTGTATCCCTTGAACCCCCCATATGTTTCACTCACTGCTTGAGGCAGGGTCAAGGTTGGGACACGTAGGAATGAAAGGGCACAGGTGAACAGGAACCTGACCCTCTGATGGACTTTTTGTAAGAACATCCCAACCTGTCTGAGAGTCAAGGGAACCAAACCCTGTAATGCTACCTTTGTATAGGAGTCCAAGAGCTTCCCTATCATGTTTCCTGGGGTGAGATGTTTGACTGGCTATAGGACTTCCCCCCGGCCCGCAAGCTAACCCCCCGCTCCCCCTGCTTCTCCCAAAAAGTAGGGGAACTGGCACAGGTGTGTGCTCGTGGCTCGTGTGTGTGTGTGTGTGTGATCTTCCCAACAAGCCAATCCAAACCAAACCACGCCAGCCAGATAGGCCCAAACAAGTCCAAATTGCTGGTTCCCACCAAAACGGTCTTTCCACCAAAGTACAGCCTATGAGATTGTCAGTGCCCTCTATACAGGGCACCTGGCAACATGGGATTGTCTCCCAACAAATTGAAGGATGTTCTTCTGTGCACGTTGCAACCACCCAAAAAAAGGGAGGGAAAAAACAAATACACACATGGCCTTTCTTTGGCCTACGGTTTCGAAGGTATGCAAACATCACCAAAGAGAAATGGAGAAACTCGGCTAAAACTCGTACACAACACGACGCTTGATCTGGTTTCAAAGGGAAATGTACGCCTTTTTTGTGGTGGTTGGAGGAAAAGTTCGGGGCTTGGCCGTTCTCGTCCTCCCCGAACCTGCAGGCATTCAATATTGTGCGTTGCTCGCATGTTCCAAAATACCAGCAAATGGTGGTGGGTCCCAAACAAGTGAATTTGAGAGCCTTCCGTCGGAAGACAATTCAACCAATGCAAGGAACATGCAATCTGAGCAGCTCGGCGATGCACAGCCACTCAATCTGATTCAACCATGAAAGCAACCGAGAGGGTTCCCATGTCCAGGGTTCAAAATGGGTGCGGCTTCAAATGGGCCCTGAAATTGCAACACATTTGAGCGATGCGGTCCCAAAACCCATGACTTTCATGGATAGAAAGGCATACTGCCCCGCAAATCTGCATAGAAGCCCAATTACAAATGATTGTGTTTTGGATTCCATGTTGATCTGCAGCGGAGTAAGCCTTCCTATAAATAAACACCGGTGACACCAGGTTGTAGAGAGCCTACGGCAATGGCCGATGCCGCGTTTTGGCTGCACTGCTCGTGTCGCCTAAAGCCCAAAATGCCAACGCATCCTCAAGTCGAATGACCAACCCCCCAGTCCGCGTTGCCTTGTTGCGATCTCAACTCCTGGCGAGAGGGTTGCCCAACTGGAGAAATCCAACGTGACATGTGCCACCTTTGTCGGGCCAGGTTGGCATGCCGGGAGAATGTCTAGGTTGCTCGGAAATCGACATCCAAGAAACGAATCCAAAAAAATCACCTGAATCCGCTCTGAAGGGCGCTCTGAAGGGGTCGCGCCGGTCCTAGGTCCTTCTGTTTGGCGACCCCTCGGGCAAAAAGCCAGTGTCAAGCACATGGTCTGCCCCAAACAATGCACAGGCGACTATACCACACTACAAGCAAACCACCCAAAATGGAAATACGGAAAGCCCCGAAGTTTGCCTGCAGCTTCTTCATTTGAGGAGAAACGCGCACCTGGGCTAAAATAAATACTTGGACATTTGTGCACAGCAAAGTCAAAGCCTATCTCTTGGCACCACATAGAAATACTACCATATCATGCCACAACGGCGCGCTCACTCCCCAAAGCTGACATGAAACCTGAAACATTCACTGCTTGTGCAAGGAAACCTCCTTCCCGATGACAACTTTTCGGGCTGGGCACACTAACCCCGTGTCTATGGCAGCCCATGGTCGCTAGGAAACTCGTGGTTAACGTGACAACACCTGCTTGCCCGAGGCATTCCCCAAATTCCTGTAACACCCAAACAACATGATGTTCAGAGAAAATCTGCTGTTCAATACGGCCCCGTTGCTGGTGCTTGGGTCACCTCCAAGCAAATGGGGTCGGGCGCAAACTCGAACTCTCCTTGAGTGGCTTAACGCCACCTTCTTTTGAGGTCACAGCCAAAGGGTATTGAAGGACCCAAAATCTATGGCAAAAGAACCAAGAGGGCGGATACAGTAGCCGGAGGTAGTCCTACCAAGGAGACTAAATTATCGCCAGGCTTTTCCCCGCTCTCTTTGTCCCCGCTTCAGTCGCAAATCGATCACATCCCTTCGGCTGGGATCCTTGGCGTTGATGTGTGAAAGCAAGCTTGCCGCATATCCGTTGTACGTCTTCATGGGCGGCAGGTTGAGCTTCCTGGCAAACGCCTTCATCGCCCTCAGTACCTCCTCTCGCGACGTTTGGGTCTGCAACAGCCCCTTCTTCCGAAGGCGCGCCTGCACATCTTGGTCAGAGGGCGATGGCTGCCAGTGGCCACGTGTCTCGTCAGACAGCAAGGCAGCTCGCAGCTTGTCACGAATGTCTGCAATGGCATCTCCTTCCTCCGGCAACAGCCCCAGTTTTCGAAGGTTCTTCTTGTTCCGACTTGATCTGCAAAAGGTCAGCATCGCCTCAGCCTCATCTGCGTTCCAGCGCCGGTCAAAATAGCCAAGCCTGGAAAGCACGCGCAGCACCACTTTGCGAGAGTCCGGAAGCATGAATGGTCCGCCGCCCTTCACTATCCGATATGCCATTACGTGGCCGAAGACACTCTTCCTTTTATTGCTGAAGGAACCATGCCTCCAGGGAAGGACAAACACCAAGTTGTTTGTGCTCCGGCGCCAGCCAACGTCTCTGCACTCTTGAATGCGCTTGGCAACAGCTTCATACGCAAAGCTATATGGATACACCACCAGCGGCCCGCAGGAATTCGCGTACCAAAACTTGGTCAAGCCTGAGAAAGCCCCAGCCTGGTGGGCGGAAAACCCGGTGTCCATCAGAACGTGGCGCACTGCATCCATCTCCGACTCGGGCAGAAGTGGCGGGAGGACGGCCGTGCGCCTTTGGACTTCCCCCTGGCCGCTGGGATGAAGAATCGCCAGGACCCGCGTCTCCTCGTAGCCGCCCGAAAGTGGCAAGACTTGTGTGGCCACCGCCTCGAACCTCCTTGGCTGCTTCCAAAGCACGCGGAAAAGGAACCCGTATTTTAAAAAACAAAAAAAGTTCAGTCCCAGACGCTTCACTGTGCCTGCATAGCACTTTGGCACGAGAACCAGAACATGGTGACCAGCGGCGCTCATGTCCCTCACGACATCGATGAAATCCTCATCGTGGGTTAGGCTGTTCTCCAAAAAGTTCAACTCACCTAATCAACATAGACCACACCCGTTTTCCGTGCTCTTTGACAGCCCCTTTGTGGGAGCGGAATCAAAAAGCCCCTACCTGCCTCATCTTGCACCAGAAAGCCAAGGCAAAGGTGGGTGGTCTTCCTGGACAGCCTGCGAGCCGCAGCAATAATGGCTTCATCATTGAGGTCCTGGTAGCCACCTGCTTGCAGGATTTCCCGTTTGAACCTAATTTCGGTTTAAGCAGCTGGTGTATCCTTATTCACATCCTGTTGAAGTTGGGTCTGTCTCAAAACGGGAACTGGCCGAGGACATCCTTCACGCCAAAGATTCCTGAACAGTCCAAATGGTCAACAGGTAACCCCCGCCTTCGCGGGGAACCCCGCGAAACGTGAACCCGTGCTCCTGCAGGCACTGGCTCCACATGGAGTTCCTCAATCGCTGCGGCTCCGCGAAGACTTCTGCATGCACCGTCCAACCAGCGCCGCGGAGCATGCTGACAGCCTCCTCGATCATCGGAAGACCAACAGCGTCGCCGTCCACGAACAGTCTACATCTCTCTTCCTCTTCCCCTCTTCTTCCTCTGGTTCCTCTTTCTCCACTTTTCATGTTTTTCCCTTTGTTCTCTCTTTCCTTCCTGCTCCTGCTTCCTCTCTGTTGGCCTGTGCCAGCTTTGCAGCGCCTGCGAACTCGGTAGGACTGCGGTCTTAGGCAGACAGGCACCGCCAAACTCCACAAACTCCGGGTGCAAACGTGACTGCTGTGGGTGCTAAAGCCGGCAGCAACCAGATGCAAAGGCCCGGCTGGGCTGCCAGTCCGGACTGTCGCAACCGGCAACATGATCCGGCATTCAACAAGGTGCAAATTGAGTCGCCTTACCCCTCATTGCCGGTTGGAGTGGTGGTTTAAGGGTCATGCTACGGCTTCCCATTTGGCTTTATATAAGAGGAACGCCTAAACCACAGGCCCAAAATCGGCAACTAAGAACTGCCTGAGGGCCAGCGTGTCGCGGTGTGTCGGAATCATGATCGAATCCCCGAATCCCAAGACCCGATCTGTGTGCTCCGCTCAACTGCATGCGTTGCACAAATCGGGGTTGGCAGATCCAAAGCCAAGACGCCAGTGACACGGATCCTTCTGAAGAAAGTTGCCCACGCTGGCTACGAAAATGGAGGCGGCCATGGTCCCTTCCAAACCCCCGGACCGGAGCGAACACAGACACAGACCCGGGGTCACCCGCGTACACACAAGCAAACGCAAGCGAACGCAAGCACAAGCTCACCTCGGGAACGCGCTAAATGATATCCTCGATCTTAAGAGCGGAATAACTCCGGCATCAGGCTTGCAAACACCAAACCCTCATTCATCACTGCATGACAGGGTACCATGTTTTGCTCCCCCAAGGTCGCCTTTCCTAGAAAATTAATCAGCCATTGGTTTGAGTCTACGGGGACCCAATCAATGGAAGCCTGCAGCAAGAGCTTCTGCACGTCAACGACAGTTGCTTGACTAAAACAAAGGTGCCGCTCAGGGCATCGATGTTTTCTCCCAACCACTTGACAAAGCAGCCGCTCTCCAGTTAGTTTTTGATCACAAGACCATCTGCCAAATGGAACAGCACTACCTGTATTTCCCCTTTGACATCACCCCACGAAAACGAAACCCACTTTTGACAACCGAAAGTTGATGCCCAAAACCACCCCTCGAGAAATATCAGGGAACCCCATTCTTAACGCTCGGTTGCCCCTTCTCCACTTCAAACCAGAGGAGCTCAAACCAAGACACGCCCAACGGGGAAGCTGTGCGCTCGCTCCCTCTGCCTGGGACGTGGTGATCGCCGCGCAACCCGTGCACGCCGCGGCATAAGCTTGGCCCACGCCTTGGGGCCGAAAAGACGTTGTCGAGACGACTGGCGGGGTGGGGGACGTCCACTTTTGGAGAGGGTAACTGTTGGGAAATTTTGGGACCCTGCCCACTTTCTTGGAAATGTCTCTTTGAGTTCTTCGCCTGAGCTGTCTTTGCTAAGCGTGCCCCTTTTTCGTAGGGGTCAAGGGGGAAAAAAGTGTGGGGGGGTCCCCAACTTCTAGACGCGTTTTAAACGCCTTTCTGTCCGGGCATGTCCTTCAAGTTCAATCTACCAGCTTCGAGTTGGGGCTCATGGCCGCCAGCCCGTGCCCATGAAAAAGGGACCCCTGCTGTTTTAGCAGTTTGGTCTGTACAAGCAAGCCAAAGAAATGGGACAATGGAGAAATTTTGACACAGACCCCCGCAAGCCTCCCTTTCACAACATGGCCTTTTCTGGGTCCGAAGCTCAGCTATTGTCCCCCAACCAACACAAAATATGTTTGACTCTGGTCTGTCTTGACAAACCCGAAAAATGAACAAATCCATTGAGAAAACAGATCCCAAATTGAGAATGGTTGAACCTGACAATGATTGAGAAAACAGATTGACAAACCCGAAAATGAACAATGATTGAGGAAACGGATCCCCGTCTTAAAATAATAATAATTCTAATAATAATTAATTATATCTTTTTGTTTAAAAAAAAGGCTCCCCGTCTGAAAGGGATCTAGTTACCCACAGCTCGCCCCCAGCTCGCGCCCCATGGCTCGGATTTGTCTGGGGCTCCCCCGCCGGTGAAGAGCTCCGGGGCCAGGCGGGGGCCCAGCAGCGACACCAGGGGAGTGGCCTCGCCCGGTCTTCACGGTCGCCTGATGGATTTGGATCCATTGAATGAGACCGGGGGATTTTTCTCGCCCTTGGAAAATCCCAGATCACCCAAAATATATTTGGCCATGGGGAGGTTTTTTTTTTTTAAACTAGTCCGACAAAAAGGGGCCCACCATGTTCCCATATTGGGGGGACCCAGGCTCTGTTGAAGAACGCGTGCTTCTCAAAAGGGACCAGACTCAAGTTAGCTTCTTGTTGGCCTTTTACACCAACAGGACCTGTTGAACGGGCTCGATCGCAGATGGGTTCCGAAATCGCACGAATTCACATGAGAATGTTCTGTTGTGAGCCAAGGACTTGGTTTCTTCGTGGACATTTGGGGGGTATGTCCACCAAACATATTCAGGGTTTTCCCCAATTCGCTTTATCTCAAAGTGGTGGATTGGTGATTTCGGGAGTTGAGCCCCAGTTCCTCTCGAAACGAAATGAGCCTCCCACCCGAAGCTGATGAAGGCGGGGATCCTGGTTTGGACCACTTTCCTCTGGTTACAAGGGTCATATCTTTGGTGGGGTCCATGTCAGACAGGAGCTGAAGCCCCAAGTGAAGAATGGCTGAGTCAAGCCAGCCCCAATTACCCTCTCCCAAAGCCCTCCTGCCTGCATCTGCAGGTAGGTGAACACTCTGCAGCCATCCTGCCAACGGGCTAAGGACCCTTGTGGAGGCTGATTTTGGAAGAGGAAAGCCATCCTCTTGAAAAGGCCCCTTGTCCACTGTCACGATAAAAAGGGTATGTGAAGCTGCTGTTAAAGCATCAATTCAATGAGGCGTTTCCATTTATTTCGCGGTCGGCAACATTTGCAACCTGCCAGGGATCCTTTCATCCTGAGCGGGAAGTTTTCCTGGACATTTCGACAAGGAGGAGGACGTTACTTCTAAGGGTGGGGAGTCGAAATCTTTGGCCTGCCTTGTTTCAAGGGGGCTTCGGGCAAGTTGTTCTGGGCTCACCATTTGGAGACAAACCCCTTGGGATATAAATTGGAAATCAGGGAACCTTCTGGTGGACATCACTTACACGCAAATTGATGCCCGCCAAACATGTGGAGAGTATGCCCAATTGAACAAAGATGCCACATCCAACAGAGCTGACATCTTGACAAACCATCAGCTGGGTCTAACGAAATCGCCTCATTTTGGGGTCACAAACCCGAGTGAGACCGGCGCCGAGCAGATTTGTGTTCAGAGCCCGAAACAAAAACAAGACCCCACGATGTCAGAAGGTTGCCACGCAAAATCTACCCTAAGTGTCCACCATAGTAACGTGCAGCCAGTCCCTTCCCTCCCTGCCCCTCACCCTTCACACATCATGCCCCTCGCATACTCCAACAATCACCAACTGAACCTTGTTTTAAAAAGTATGTGTTGAAACAACCTCCTTGGGATTCCTTGGGTGAGCCTTTATTTGCCCAACCCCGGGTCAGATTCTCCTTCATAATTAGTCTACCCCAAATGCAGAACATCTTGCAGGACCCTAGTTTATTGCCCAGCCCGGGTCGCTTCCTCATTGCTGCGGACCACGTGCCCTAAGATCGCCCCGCGCAGACGGAAGCGCTGCAGCCTTCCAGCGGAAAAGAAAAAATGAAGAAAAAAGCCCGAAGCATTGCCACCCCTGGCAAACTCCCCAAAAGCGGGAGGTGGTTTCTGGTGTTTCCCTCACAGACAATGTTCTCCCAATCCAGACAATTTGGGCCCCGAAGTTTTAGCAAAGGGAAACTGCAGCTGCCAGTCCAACAGCAACCAAGCAAAAGGAAAGTCAATCTCCGAGATGGCTTGTAGATGGAGTATATGACCTGCGTACAGGTGGCTAGTGGTTGTGCGGTTCACGTTCCTTTGGGCCCACTGTTGGGCCCGAAAGGGGCCCCAAGTTTACGCAGACCAGTCAAACTCCCCCCCTGCCCGGCCGGCCACCGTGCATTTCAAGCCAAGAGGCGCGCCGACCCAGCTGAACATGTCGTCCCAACCACCGCTATCGCCACTCTCCTGGGGAATGTCAAGCTCCACCTCAGTGCACTCCAACACTCTGGGGGAAAAGTCCACAATTCCCTCATTTGAAATGGGGACACCCTACAAACTGCAAAGTTCCTGTTCTGGCTTTTTGCAAAGAACACATGGATCCAAGGGATGCCGAGTTTGAGGAAAGCAAGATCCCACAGCGATAGAGCTCAAGATGGTCAACGGATAACTCATTTTAGGATGTATGAGCATCATGTTTAAGATGTCACTCAAGATGCATCGAAGCAGCATTGTGCAATGCATAACAAGAGAACCGGTTCAAAAAGCACGCGCACACACACACACACACACACCGAAAAAGAGACCCCTAGGCCCGTAGGCACCCGAAAACAAACACCTTAACTTGCCTGTGGTTCAGGCAACAGCAAACAGCAAGAAATGGTCGATAAGGAAGGTCACAGGAGTGCCAATAGTATGTATCGAGGCTGTGGCTCTCGTTTTTGCGGAGGGTAGCCACAAAATGCAAAAGCAATTCTGATCTGGTTTGTTTCTTCACCAAAATCGAATTAGCACACGCGGGGGAGGGGGGGGGACGAACCCACGATTGCTCGACCCATTCGGAGTTCGGCGGGCCAAGGCGCGTCGCGGCAGAGCCAGGCGGCAAAGGCAGTTTGGCAGGGCGCGACCTTGCGGCGGCGGTGGATGACGTCGCACTGCGGCAGCAGCCCAAACCTGAGCTAAAAAGGTCAGGGCTGGGTTCAACCAGATGATAGGGGAACATGAGGAGCTACAGTAGGGAGGTTCGTCCTATAACCATGGCTGAATGTGGCTTTGAAGCACCCTGCTTGATGACCCCTGATTTACTCGTCTTCCAATTCACGTCAAGTCCCGCCAGCACATGCATATACTTACCAGTTGCGCCATTTGCCTTCAAAACAAGCAGAAGAAAAAGAAACCGTTCCCAGTTCTTGGAAACCATTTGAGGCCAATTCCTCCCGACCCAAAAGGCAAGGCTGGCAAGGTGCTTGGACACGGTGCGCACGTGGAAGACGCCCTCCTCTGCCTCGCTGAGACGGTTGTGGGCGCTCGCTCCAGCCGCTTCTGTTGTCTGAGAACAAACCTTGTACGAGATTCAAAGTCAAAGGAAACAACCCCAGTTTCTCACTTTCACCCGGAACAGCCATAAGGGGCTGAATAATTACCAAGACGTTGCTCCTATATGATCAGGACTTTGGCTCCCCTTGGTTCAGAATTGCACCTTCTTGAGGTACCCTCAGACCTTCACGGCGGAAATCCGGGAGTTCCCTTAAGGAGCTTGGCTCAAATCGCTCGATCCTCGCGCCTGGGGCAGCTCTTCCAGCTTCTCCAGCTCCGTGTCCCAGGCCCGCCTAAGGTCTGAGATGTTGAGAGGTGCCAAGCCACCGGAAAGAAAAAACAAAACAAAACGTTCAGCTGTTGCTGACTCACACACAGAGAAAACCAGGAAACCAGCCTTCTTCAGCCAAGGCCCGACAAATTGAAGCACATTTCAGAGGCCAGTCAAGTCAGAAGATCAATCCACTTCTCACGAGACCCTTCAAGGGGTGTTCAAAGGTGTTTTGTGCTTGGTGTCGATTTGGAGCTCAATGTCCAGTGGATTTTGACCAACACAAACAAAGCCTGTCTGGTGGCGTTTCCCTGTTTTTTTGTTTTCTGGCCTCCCGAGCAACAAACCACACAAAAGCAGAGTCGCCCTCAAAAAAGCAAGCCCTGGGCTAATTTGCTTTTTTTGGTATGAGGAGGAACAGCTCATCTACTTTTTAGAGGCAACAACTAAGAAACACTCCCTGCCTTCCTTCCCTCCCTTCCCTTCCCTTCCCTTCCCTTCCCTTCCCTTCCCTTCCCTTCCCTTCCCTTCCCTTCCCTTCCCTTCCCTTCCCTGCCTCCCTCCCCCCGCTCCCTCCCAGAACAAGAACCTCCCCTTTCCCCATCAAATGCCCAACTCCTATCCGACGATTTCCCGCCTTGCGTCTGGGTCATAGAGCAGCTTTGTGGCTGTCTCTGGGGCGACGCCTGGCGTTGTCGTTGGAATTTCCACTAACCACGGAGTTGGGTGAAAGTAGATGGCACAATTCGGTGACTTTGGTTCAGTAGTCCATCTTGCTTACCCACGAAACGCTTGAACTGTTTCGGGTGTGCCAACATTGGACCCAAAACTGTTGGGGTCCTTCCCCAAAAGAACACTCCCCTTTTTGAGCTGGTGTCAAGGCTCCCCTTTCCCTTTGCACATCAAAAGGAAACTCAAATGAGTGGGCCAAAAAGCTGTTTCAAACGGCTACAAGGGACAAAAAGGAACCCTGGGTGTTTTTGTTGGGCTCCCATATTCAAGTTCAGGAGAGTCGGGAAAAAATGAGCCAATGTCGTTTACATACTTTGGTGATCGTCTGGTGCGGTTTCTGTTCATTCACTGAAATAACAAGGAAAATGCTTAGCAAGCCGATCTCCCCGTACCCCCCCCCCCCGCACCCAACAGAAGAATACCATGTCCGCGTCCAAAAAGCGCCCCGTGCCTGGGAGCGTCATAAACCCGCGGAGCAGGAAGATCTCGCTCGGCTCATCACCTAACCAAAGGCTGAAACAACTTTTGTTTGGTCTCCCTTCAACATGCTTGATATTCCCTCCTTCCAGCCGCATCCTCTGTTCAGCAAACAGGCTGAACAAGACTGGACAAAATGTGATTTCTGAGAAGAGAATGGACAAGGAATCAATCCTTAGGCTCCTTGCATCTTGGCACCCGTAAACTGACCCAAGAAAGCAGCCTCCTTTCTGGGTGACGTCGTTATTCCAGCTTGGATCCTGAGAAACCCACCCTCCCCATTGTCCCAAACAATCGATAGCGCTGGTGACCCTGAAGTGGTTTGAGAACACCAGTA